GGCCTGAAGAGGCGCCACGCTTTGGCGGAGAATACTGTGAAAAGTACCGTGGAGCGTACTCTAGAGAGTACTCCAGAGAGTACTATAGAGAGTACTCGCGCACCACGACACGCCACTCTCTGGCCATAGGGTCACCACCGCGCCCTGCACATCCCCCGCCCGGCGCTCTCGCTGCCGCCGACTCACCGCGTGGCACGTAGCGTTAAGATTCCTAACAAGTGCCCCCCATCCTCCCTCCGTCTCGGCCCCGGGGCCGTGTGCGAACAACGGGGGCCGCATCCACTTGATAAATATATAATGCGCGCCCGCCGAGGCGTCCAAGGCGAAAGAGAAGGCGCCGCAATTCCGGGCCAACCGTCCTGGATATGTCACGTCGCCAGAGAATGGCCGAGGACATTGTGCCGGAAGAGCTACCTCTGAGCGACTTTGCACGATCCATTTCGTGGGGGTGGCTTTCTGTCACTCGCCTCCTTCTACGACCATCGTCATCATCATCCCTTCTAGCAATGTGTCCTGTCCAAGTCGACTTGATAAATCGGACTTATATATAAGCAAATTATTGATTTATCCAAGTCGCACTCTGATCGTTTGTATTGTCTGCCATTGTAACTTGCTGACCCGCGCACAGTAGACATCTGTGAAAAAGAGCTTCATAGCTCCTCGGATTCCTCCTCCAGTCGAAGTAAAGCTCCCAATTCTGACCTTTCTTAACGGTCCAAGTGACGTCTCGAGCTTTGCGCGCGTGGTTCAAGTCCGTCGGGCGCAAATTCCAATTCCAATCGCGCATCTCTCCAAGCTCTCTTAGGGGCGTTTCGTTTTCAGTCAGAATTCGTCCCATTGTGTCAGCGTCCATTCAAGCCGAGCGATTTTCCACGATTTCGCTCCAAGAGTAGGGATACAATCACGAGGCACAATCGTTGGATCGGTGAAATCACGCGCAATTTGTGCATTTAGTTGCACAAGAAGCGTTTCGGTACCCGCCCCCCCTCTCGCAGATTGGCACGATGATCCCCGCAGGCCTATGGCGTGAGGATCGAGCATGCGAACCCGTCCAGCTGGGCGATGAACGTGAGAATCTCACATTGACTCCTGCGAGGCCAACCTCAGCGGACAATTTGAGTAGGAATCGCGATTCCAACGTGACAATCACCGCTCAACTGAATGGGGGGGGGGGGTTCTAACAGGGAATTGCGCCATTCGATGATGTGTGTGCGATGCGATGGATTTATCTTCGGAGTCTCTTGTGGATCCAGCTTGCCTCGGCTTTGCTCATTTAAGTATCACCGATTCTAGACGGCCAGTAAAGTGATTTAGGCCGCTTCCTAGTTGACATAATCACCTTTGCAATCCATTCCCTTTGCCCAGTGTGCGCAATTTGCAATCAAATTATCCTGATTGCTTGCCACAAATGAACCACCAATACCTTGCTGTTCTCTTCAAGGAGCGTAAACCATTACGGAAACTCCGTTCATCCTCGGAGCAGCGGCATTTGGATAGCCATCGAACAAAGGCGGTCGCCGCATCGCATGCTTTTCAGATGCGCTTCTGCGGCCGTCTGGAACGCTCTTCCTTCCGATATTAGGAAGCCACTGGAGCTACGCGCCTTCAAATCTAGATTGAAAACTCATTTCTTAAGAACTGCTTTTTGTGTTTAGTTTGTTGTCCTTCCCCCCGTGCCTCCAATTAGCACGGTTAGCAACATACGTGCGAAAGAAGTTCTATGTATGTACGTGCATACTTCTGAGCCTCTGTACGACGTGAACGTTAATGGGCTGGACAGGACAGGCTAATAAGCGAGCCTGCTTGCGCGATTCACAAAGCAGGCACTTTCCCTGTCAGCTGTTATATTTTTTTAAAGGGTGCTATTATTGCTGCTCTATATGCCAAGCAAATCAGGCGGAGTTGGTGGCACGATGTGCTGCGGACCAAGCGACCTGGGTTCGAGTCCCAACCACGGCTAACATCAGTGGCGAGCAGTGTCTAAACTAGTCATCGGGGCCTCCATCACCAACACGCGGTGAACCATCGTGTCAAAACAACCTTCATGGCCGACACGGTGGTGTGGAAGCCTTCATCCAACAGTGGATTCACGGAGACTTGTAAATTAACGCAAGATCACTGGGCTCCATGCGCCATCACCCCAGGTTACAACACACAGAGAGATGTATGCATGTTTAACTTCATGGGACTTCCTTTGCCAGTGCTAAAATATAAGAATAGGTTTTCCCCCTTCTTTCTGGCAACAAAACTGAAACCTTTCTACAAGGAATTATGTCTGCATTAACCACAATACTTGTGGTCAGAATGCAAACAGCTTTCTTTGAGCCTCGTCTCAAACGGTGTTAGACCAGAGGACGCCAAAAGGCGTACACAGCTCAAAGACAACGCACTATCAGAGTAATGAGAGCTCGGATTTGAAGTCCCAACCGTGCAACGGCAAGTCAGGCACTTCGCCAAATCGGCGCCTGTCAAAATTAATAAACTCACGGTTTGGGGAACCTGACATTCAACACAATATCGTTCCATAACGATGAAGATTTCCAGCTGGATGCCATAAGATCTTTAACGTTTATTTTTTTTCCAAACATCTCACCACACTCCAGCAGAATAATCGAAAACCCTCGCATGGCAAGTGTTGTTTGTGACTTTCCCGGCTGTAGTAAGCGGCGAGTCGAGGCCTGTTCTCAAATTCCCGTTCCCATGAAACGGCCAGTCGTGGCAACCTAAACTATCTCCCCTCTTCGTCAGTGGGAAGTGCTGTAAGCGAGCGCCGCGGTGGCGAGATGTTAACGACCTCGCTTGGTATACAGGAGGTCATATTCTTAGGTTTTTTTGGTAAAGTCACGTAGGTAAAAAATTAAAATTAATAAAAGTAAAATAAAAATAAAGTATATAATTTTACTTGATTATATTTTTTATTTTTATTTTACTTTTATTAATTAGAATTTTTTACCTACGTGACTTTACCGAAAAAACCTAAGAATATGAATCCTTGCAGTTACGAAAGCTTCAAATATAGAATACAGGAGGTCGTGGCTTCAATCCGACCCTGATGCCTGCTGTATATTTGGAGTTTGCATGTTCTCCCCGTGGTTGCGTGGATTTTTCTCCAGGTCCTCCGTTTTTTCCCTTCACATTTCAAATCAATGTGCATTTAGAATATTTGGCTGCTATGGATTTCCACATGATAAGCCACTTATCGCTATCATTTGTGGCCAGGTCGCTTCTGAAAAAGAGCTATATAGCTTAGTGGGCCTTACCTGATGAAATAAAAAATAGTTCTCTAGTTTATAGAGCGCCTACAAAGGCCGGCACGGTACAAGAATAAGCGGCCTTTTAAAGACAGCCAAAAGCACACACAGTCAGAAGCCGCTACCTGCCATAAGCGTAGCGTACATTGACCATACCAAATCCATTTAGCTTTAAAGACTGTAGGGGGGTGAGCGGGCACCTTTTAAGGCCGGCCTAGCACGTAGAGAGCAGATGTATCCAACACCACACCTGGATTGTCTCCCGAGTGCCAATGTTCAATCATCATACAGTGTGCTCATTTAAAGTCGAGCTAAACTCGGGGAGGCTCAGGACAGGGATAGCTATCACTTGCCAATGATGTTAGCCATGGCTGGGAATCGAATCCAGGGCATTTGGATCATAACACATCGTATATGACTCACAGCGCCAGCACTCTCCGCGCGGAGAAACAAAGCGCACGCGCTCGATACCGTAACGCAGCACATGTTCCCAAGGGGATTGAAAAAAAATAATGAGAAACGGGTTTGCCATGTGACTAGCAGAGGACTCTGCCAAGGTTCAATTAGGCCCTTTCATCTGCCGACATGTCTTCTGCCCCTGGAGGTTGCTCACAATTAATGGTAACATTCTCCACTCCGATCCAATGCAACGTCAACTTCAATTGGACGGACGCGCTGGTGGTAGTACATACAAATACGTAAAGATACAGCCCTGCAACATCTTGCTCTTGTTACCTCCCCAGCAGAAGGGCATTCACTATATGGAGCTCTACAGAGTCCCCCCCCCCCCCTGTGATGGATTATTTGGCCTATTCTTCCACACAGTTCAGACACCTTGATAAGGATGGCGAGTACCCACTTTGTTTGGCAATAAACAGCGGTTGTCCTACGGAGAGAACTACCCCCGCCATAAGAACGTGGAATTTCCTTTCCTGGCTCAAGGCTAGAAAGAAAGAAATGACCGCGTCGAAGGTTATATGAGCAGGAAATCATCGACGAGGGCGGCCACCGTCGGGAGTTGGGGGGTCGGTCACGAACCACGGCCCTCCCGGGAGCAGCGCGCCACGCTGGCTACGAGATGTCATCACCCTCGCCTGGTGTGCAGGAGGTCGTGGGTTAGATCCCGACCCGGACGCCTGCTGCTGTATATTTGGAGTTTGCGTGTCTCTCTCTCATCATCATCATCACGGTGGCTAGGAGATGTTATCACCCTCGCCTGGTATGCAGGAGGTCGTGGGTTAGATCACGACTCGGACGCCTGCTGTATATTTGGAGTTTGCGTGTCTCTCTCTCATCATCATCATCACGGTGGCTAGGAGATGTTATCACCCTCGCCTGGTATGCAGGAGGTCGTGGGTTAGATCCCGACCCGGACGCCTGCTGCTGTATATTTGGAGTTTGCACGTTCTCCCCGTGGTCACGTGGATTTTTCTCCAGGTCCTCCGGTATTCCCCTCCACGTTTAGAGACGTGCGTTTTAGAGTATTTGGCCGCGATAAATTTCCACGCGATAAGCCACTTCGTCGAGCTGCCATTTGTGGCCGAGGTCCCTTCTGAAAAAGAGCTACACAGCTCAGTGGGCCTTACCTGGTAAAATAAAACAATTGCTTAGTTTAGTTTCAGAGCGGTTCCCAGCAAAAAGCGGGGCTGCATTTCAGCGTCACGCCAGACTCCTCCGCGCAGCCCAGAGAGGGGCGGACGGGCAGGCGGGCGAGCGGGTGGGTGCGCGGGCAGCGTGCGCCACACTCACATGTGCACGTGCTTGCCGTTGGCGAAGAGCAAGACGTAGTAGGATATGGTCACCTGTGCGAAGAAGTGCAGCGTGTACCTGTGGGAGGACACACGGGGAGGAGGCAGGTCACGAGCATCGTAACGACAGCAAAATCCAAAGAGCCCTCAAAAACAAGATGTTAGCAGGTGGGCGCTCTGGATAGCAGTTGATGATGGATTACTTCATAATCAACGTTTTTGGGTTAGATCGCGTTATTTATAAATGTGTCGTAACCCTCCACCACCCGACACGGCGAATCAGCAAAAAAGCGTCACGTTGACAAAAGACAAATAGTTCACTACTTTAGCCCACCGGTGTGTTGAAGAGTGAATCCACAACATTTACAGTTTTTTGAGTACGACGTTTCGCTGGTAATTACATCCGGGCAATTCGCCAGAATTCTGGCGAATTGTCCGATGATGCTGGATGTAATTACTTGGGCTAAAGTAGTGAACTGTTTGTCTTTTGTCAACGTGACACTTTTTTGCTGATTGGCCGTGTCGGGTGGTGGAGGGTTATGATACATTTATAAATAACGCGATCTAACCCAAACACGTTTATTATGAATAATATTGGTCGCGAAAGTCTACGTGTTAAACCGATGGATTACTTGTCTTGCGTCAAATTAAAACCCAAATCGAACTGAGGGGGTCCTTGCCTAGGAACATTTGGTAGCTCACCAGCATTGGTATGAACAAGCCTGAAAACTGCTGATGAGATGTTGAATGCTGAAACTGGTCCAGTACGTGCTGATGAGATGTACATATAAAAATAATAACCATATTATTATTATTTACATGGAGGGGCGTACTGTCTGTTCATTATTTACTTCGTAATAATTAAGCCAAATATTCACCCAGGAAAAAAAAATGTTCACGAGTATCCTGCATTGGGATGTTTCGTCATCAGCGACATGAATGAGTGCTTGGCTTGTGGAAGGAAGCCGAACTGCCCGGCAAAAAAAAAATTCATACGAGGGGATGACTTCTAACGCTGCCACGTCCTATCACTTGCCTGCTAATTCCCAGGCTTTCTCGCATGTAAGTATTAACCGGGCTCAAACAAAGCCTGCTTAGCTTCGAAGATCTGTCCAAGATTGGGCACATTCAGGGTGGTTTGGTTGGAGTCAGGATTCTCAGCAGTGTAGATAGGGTCAGAAGTCTGCAATGAGCTTTCGGGCTCAAGAAAAGAATCATCCACCTACTGCAAGCAGTATACACATAAAGGCATTGTCCAAGTCACAGTGTCTCCCTGCCCAAATAAACGCGGGGGAGGGGGGGGGTGCTTATGTTGTACAGGCGGCACGGAGCCAAGTGTGGAAATTCCTCATTCCCGAGCCAGAGGCCAGTCGATCCAGAGAACAGCTGTCCATCGGAGCATTGTTACTTAATCGAGCGGAGTGAGTCATGCTGCCAGCTATGGCTGCAAAGTTTAGTCGTACATGTTACGGATATCGTTTATTGTTAAATTTGAATCACAGTTCCTATAACCACTGTTACATTGTTTTTATAGCTTTATTTTGGTGATATTCGAAAACGTATGGTTAAGCCATGTTTGTTTGTTGAAGTACGGAGTTAGCCTGATAATTTTATTTAAATTGTCTTATGGTTGTTATTGTCCGACTTGCATCCCATTGGGATTTTTGCACACAGCGTTGATGTCCGGTGCTTTTTTCTGGAAAATGTTTTACTGGTTTTTCCTGGATGTTTCTGTAGGCAAAACGTCTCTTTAAGATGTTCTTTGTTCATGATTAGTTTGTTACAGTTGCACCCGAGTCAAGAGGCTCAAGGCTCACAGGGCTCTACCTAATAAATGAAACTGAAAACCGAAGCAACCTTTGGATTTGACATCACGATCTCCTGATTTTGAGCCGGGGAAACTCTCCCCATAGTACCACCTGGCCAAATTCTGAAACACAGTCTAACCTTGCACATGGCCAACGGTCGTGGTATTTAATTCCCAAATGTTGTCCACCCACCCACCCACCACTCTGCCAAAGACACAGGGCTTGCGGGGATTTGCGCTGCGGAGAGACGTGTGCAATCTGTGTGCGCGCCCACGCACGCACGCGCGCCAGCCACCGCCGCTGTCAATGAGACCACGCGGTGCTTAGAGGTCAAATGATGCCGATGGAAAAGAGAGTGGGACGTTACATAAAGAACAAGGAAGGTTCACAGATACAACCGGCTGGGCACATTGCTATTAATAGCTCCCCCCACTCAACCTCCCCCCACCCCGCTCTACTGCCTGTGTCAGTAGCTGGTACAATTGTTTTAAATCGCCTATCGTTGATTGGTGACCTTTACGTTATTAGTTGAACCGGCCAGGTGGCATACTGGTTGAAATAGAGTTCGCAACTTGCGAGCAATAAGTTAATGAGTTTAGAGTCCGAGACGTGGGGAGGTGTGGGGGTGGTTTATCCCTTCATCCCTCTGGGGTCAAACTGACAAGTTATGCTCTGTGAGAAATCAAAATCGGGTTGTGTGTTGTTGAGCTGACATGGCAATGTGGAATTTCTGCCAATTGGCTCTCAGATGTAAATTGAGAAAGAAGCTGTTACTATTGTAAATGTACATATTTGTAAATGACCAGTCGGTGAGTTAAAACACAAAAAAAAATTAACGCCCCCATGAACAAGCGTCAGATTTAAACAACGTCAAATTGCTCCCCTGTACGAACGAGCATCGTGGCTGAACTCATCTCTGTGGACAGTCCTGAGATCACCGATGGGAATCCCCATTCTCACGGCTCAAGCCAGGCTCTCCATGGGAAGACAACTGTTGGGAAGATGGGCAAAGACCACCCGCCAGTACGATTTAAACTCACACACCGGTTGCGCGTCGGGCCCTCTAAACGGGTAACAACAGAATAAGCATGATGGCATTACGAGGCTCGATTAGTTCTTTCGGTAAAGTCACGTAGAATGGAAATAAAAAATAAATAAAAATTAAATTTATAAAATAATTGTTATATTATATTACTATATTACTTTATTATGTTTTATTTTTATTATTTTATTATTTGCATTCTACGTGACTTTACCGAAAGAACCAAGAAGATGAATCCATGCAGTCACGAAAGCTTTAAATCGAAATTTGAGGCTCGATTAGCAATGCCAAGTGGGTTAGACTTCAATACTGTAATGAACTATACACAGTAATTCACACGTAACCCAGATGCAATGGTCAAAGCATACCACAGCAAGCCTAGCGCACAAGGCAGCGCTGGGCAGGGGGAAGCCTAACAAGGCAGTGCTGTCATCTCATCCCCAACGGCGTACCACAGGACTCAGCTGCCTTATAATGGGCAACAGTGAAAGAGCTTACAATGCATAAAGATGACTTGAAAACTAAATACAACAACTTAAAACGGGGACGCAAGATATTAAAGCTAAAAGGTGCAGCCCTGCACATTGTTTGCTCAACGCCACTGCTGGCGAAAGGGACTGGCAGACAGAGTTCAACAGCGTACTTGGCCTACTCTTCCACGTTTTTGCCAGACAACTTGAAGGCGGTACGAGTACGCACATTTTACCCCATCACACGTGACATCCAACTGCTGTGTACACATTCACGCAGCTTTGCTGGGAATGTGTCGAATGCCTCGCCAGGAGATAGAACTGGCGTTCATCGGCGGGCCTGAGCCAACCGTGGAAATTGCACATCCCTATGGCAGGATGTGGTTCATTATGCATAGAACAATAACCACTCAATTTGCACAGGCACTGGCGCTCATTTTAAAGCGATTACAAGTGGTGTCTACCCTCGAACGGGATTTGAAATCACGACCTTCCGATTGCAAGTTGCACCGTTCCAACCGCTGCGCTGCCAGGCCAGTAGGTATATCCAACTTTCACTCTGACATTGGCACCAAAGAAGCTTGTGCTCGTGATCAGTCTGCCACTATCCGCACGGCAGTGCAGAGAGCGCTAGTGCAGCGGTTAGCGCGCCGCACCACGAACCCAGCGATCAGAGTTCGATCCCTGCTCACGGCCAACACCAGTGACGATGATCTGAACTGGTCTTGGGCCTCCCCTAGGTCGACTCGGCCTCAAATCAGTACCTGGTGCGGTGTGTAAACATCGCCACTGCGGAGACAAAGGCGGCCGGGCGTGGTGCTGGCCACCCATCCCCTCGTGTGACGTGCCGGCCTTCATAGGTGCTCGCTAACAGCACTTACCCCGAACAGTTTGTTAAGGCTATACGGGGGGATTTTTTGTCTTTGTATTATCCACACAGGCTGGCAGATTATCCACACAGGCTGGCAGATTGCTGCTGTTCCTGCAGGGAGATTATACGAAAACAAGCAGAAGCCAGAGCAGAGCAAGTTGACCACAAACTGACAAAACACGTAAACCTCACACATGGCCTGAATAAAACACGGAGTGTCTCACGGCTGCAGCGAGCAGTAAAGAGATGCGCAGGTCTCTGTTGGCACCCTGAAGCCAGTGGAGGGAGTTATGCATTATAATGCCAGGGGCCAGTCTCTCCACAAGACAATGACTGCTGACCTCCTACAAAAGCGTTGCTCTATTTGCCTATCCAAGGGGGATGATGAGCTGAGCCAACCTCGGATTGTAAGTCAAGAGCCCAAGCAGCACCTGGCCAATATAATTTCATGTCAATTTAAACACAAAATAAAGACAAAGATCCCCCAGATAGTCCTTAACAGAGTGATGAGGCTAGTGCTGTTAGCGAGTACCGGCACGGCACACGAGGGGGTGGGTGGCCAGCCCCATGCCCGGCCGCCTTTGTTTCTCCAGTGGCGATGTTTACACACCGCACCAGGTACTTATTGGAGATTGAGTCGACCTAGGGGAGACCCAGGACCAGTTCAGATAATCATCACTGGTGTTGGTTGCGAGCAGGGAATCGAACTCGGGTCGCTGTGTTCGTAGCACAGCGCGCTCACCACTACACTACACGTACACACACGCACGTAGAGTGTTCTTGCAATTTTCACCAATTATGTCGCTCTCATGCAATTCGAGTATGGGCAGTGGATTCCCTTCCACCATAGAACTCTGTACAACAACGAGGCCGCATGCTTCTCATCGT